ACGGAGATAGCCTGGTGGTTTTTGGTGCTTTTGTCATCCCTGTTATCAAACCTTAAAGCCTCAAGGTCTAATTCTTTGCTTACTGAGCTCAAAACTGAGTGCAAAACTTTGATTTCACTAGAGCAGCCTGATGGCTTAGAGGCCAGAATTTTGGCTGTCATCTTCACAACTCTTCTGATGACAGAAGCAGTGTAATGTCTTACCACATAGCATGGACTTAACTGGGTCAAACTGCAAAACAAAAAAATCACAAAACTGGTTAGTGGTGATAGTTTTCGTGTTTATTTCCAGTGGGTATTTTTACACCTTCTTTTAAATTTGCATTTGCTTATTTTATGATTCTCAAATGTTATCCATAAATTATTTATGAAAAAAAAATATTGGTGAGCTCAAAAAAAAGTACTGTTTTGGTTTTCGCCAGTGACTGGGACCCAGTGTATATTCACACAGTCCCACCCTCATGTAGAACTTAGCTATGGTAACTCTTCAACAGTAAAAACAGTCACTTCCCTGTTAATACAGATAGAATGAAATAACATAAAGGTATTCCTACAGAGTAATGGAAGAGAGGTCCCTGAATCCTTACAAAAAGGAGTTGTGTTTGAATAACTGATTTTTCATGATGCTGCATGCAACGTTAGTGAAGTTTATGACAAAAATTCCTTTAAATTTAACTTCTTGCCTAAAAACTGTTTTTCAGATTGTTGCACAAAATTGATTTAGCTGTGCAACTCCCTATCCCTTTAAACAGTTAGAAAGTAGAAAGAAATTGAGGGGAAAAAGAAACAAATGAGCCTGTCTCTTCTCCCCAGTCACAGAGAAAGGAAGCACTGTGCTTGACCCACATAAGAGAAGAAAACAGGAGAGTGAAAGATTTGTGTGCAGTGTAGTTACAGATATTACAAAACAATCACTGCATGATGTTTAAACATTTCTTTATGGTGTTTCCACTGAGATACTCCATTAGTATGTGACGATAATGAATCATGATTGTGCTTCACTGAAAGCTCTTGCCATGCCATAGCTGCATACGTTTCTGATTTTTTTTTTGTCTCCTTGTGGGTTGCACATGGAAACAAGGGAGAGAAATTACTTGAAGAACATAAGAGGAATAGAAGTAGCACAATTATAATGGCACTTAGAAGTGGAGAATCTTTTCAACACAGTTTTATTTCATTTTGTCAATATTTTTTTATTCAAGTTAGAAGTGCAGCTATAAATACAGTCCTGTGGGGAATGTGAGAGAATGCCTTTAAAAAATGTCCCTGGGCAGTGCATATGTGTTGACAAAAGTGGAGGATTTTAAATTCTTTTTTTTTCCACTTCTGTAGACGTAGCTTGTCTACAGCAACTAATTTGGGAAGGAATATTTTCAGCTAAGGAGAGAGATTGAAATAAGACAAGTAATTCTTTACTGGTAAAGCACTCAACATCTATACAGTGTCTCAGTACAGCTGGCAGTGTTTCTTCCAGATCTAACTCCTACATGCTCAGATGGTAAGTCTTTAGAGCAGGGAAAAGTGCCATCTGGTGATTCAAAACAATACAAAACTGATGGAATCAACTTTTTGTAGATGACAAATGGAACTGGTCATCAATCTCAAATAAAATTGCCATATGTGATGTTTGGTTCTGAAGATCCTGGAACCTGAAAAACACTCAACTATCTCCATTGTCAAATTTCTATTTAAAATTCTATTCTTTCATTATACTGCAGCAAATTAATATCATATGTTTAGCAGCAGTAAATAATAATTCATGCACTTCTGTAATCACAAAGTGTCTGTGATGTGTGCTGATAAAAAAGCTATATGCCATATATGTGCCAATTATATAATTATGAAGATTATAAACATATATTTGTGTTTTTACATTAGATTTTGGACTCTGATATAGGGTTTATGATTTATATATATTATATAGCATGTGTCATGTAAAAGAGTAATACAAATATAAAATATGAATATAAAGCACCATAATGTCTAATATAATTTATGTCATAATTTTTAGATTTCCTGGGAAGAGCCTTCTCCTGTATTCCACCTTATTCTAGGAAGCTGTCTGTGGTGGCCATATGAAGTGTTAATTCATTTTTCTGTTCTCCCTCATTGCTATCACGTTTATTAAAGCTGAAACATTTGCCTTACTTGACAGTAAATCTCAGGTGTTCATGAAGGAAGTATGGTAGAAATGGATATTGCCAAATGGGATACTCATTAGATAACATAGCTTGAACCTTTTTGGCTTGTGTGTTTGTTTTGCAGCCTGCACATGGAGATGTGCTGGTGCAGCCTGGGTACCCAGGTTGTTGGTTGAAGGAAGGCCCTTGTCAGGCTATACACAGCAGCCAGCACTCCCAGAAGAAGTTAGGAGGTAACTTGCACACATGCCTCTGCTGCTGGCTAGCCTTTGCCCAAAGACATCTGAATTAAGGCTCCAGGAGAAGGAAAACCTAATCTACATTGTAAATGGCAGGTGGATGTAACTTCAGCCTGAGGTCATTATAATTTCAGCCGGCAGCCTGATGGTGGAGTGCAACTCAAGCAATCTGCAGTGGTAGTGCACTAAGTGGAGAGAAAGAGGTAGAAAAGCAAACTAGAGCAGTTGGTCTGTGAGAAAGTCTTTTTGAGCCTCTTAGGTTTTGTCCCTTTTCACAAAGGGAATGACAGCAGACATGGAGTGAGGTGAGACCTTGAAACATGCAGTAGAATGGCAAAATGAGTGAGAAGGTATCTGGGATGAAGAAAATATGATGCACATGAGCCCAAAACATGAGCAAGGTTCCATAAGAGGCAACCAAAAAAACCCCTTCCTTTTGGTGTTTTCTGGATTAGAATAATTGAGATGGGACTACAAGAAGGAGAATTAGATCATTTGGGGCATGGTTATCTGAGCTTAGCTACTCAAATCCTGAAGTCTTTAAGCTGTGAGAGCTAAAGCAACCCCTTCTCCCCAGACAGTTTTATAACAACCACTCATCTTAAGAGTAGAAGTCAACATATGAAAAGAACTATTGGAATGAGGGAAAAATTATACCTTCTGCAAATGAGAAGATGTGAGTGCAGTAAGAGCAGGAAGCAACTTTTCATTTTATGCACCTTCATCCCCACAAACCAGGCATTTAAAATAAAGATACTGAATAGTGAAATAAAGAAAAATGAAATAAGGAGATGAAATCACACCTAATGACAAATCTGGAATCTTTGAAAGGTATTTCAACCATATCTGGCATTACATACACTTTAAATCACTAGTCATAAGTAGACCATCACTGTACTAAAATGCTGGTGTAATGAAACGACCATTTCAGTGCTTTTGTCTATTTATGTGTCTTAACTGGCTTGAATTCATTCTTTCTTCTTTTTTGCAAGACTTTTCAGAGAGTATGAGTTGAATTGTTGTATCATTGCAAAACATAAAATACTGATACATTGCATACATAAAATTACTGATAGGTCCTCAATTTCAAATTCCAAATCAGTTATTTCTGACTTGGAAATAAGAAAAGAGGTGAACAGGAATTTAACTCCATAGAGTAAGAATTTTTGGTTTAGTAATGAGTTCTCTTCACCTATTAGGAAACTAATTTGTATCATTCAGTATGAAATACAGTGTTGCAACAAACATTAATAATTTTTGCTTAGTAATAAATCTCTGAATTATGAGGAAGATTTTCTATAATGTATGAAAATATTTAAAGAATTAATTTCCACCTGTGCTCAGCACTGGTGAACACTGTTTTCAGTTGTGTGTCCCTCACGACAAGAGAGATACTGAGTTGCTGAAGATGGTCCAGAGAAGGGCAATGGAGCTGGTGAAGGGCCTGTGAGGAGTAGCAGAGGTAACTGGGGTTGTTTAGTCTGGTGAAGAGGAGGCTCAGTTAGGACCTTATCACTCTACAACTACCTGAAAGGAGGTTGTAGTGGGGTGAGGGTTGGTCTCTTCTCCCAAGTAACAAGTGATAGTACAAGAGATAGCAGCCTCAGGCTGTGCCAGGGGAGGTTTAGACTGTATATTAGGAAAAATTTCTTCACCAAGAATGTGATCAGGTATTGGAACAGGCTGCCCAGGTCAGTGATGGAATCACTGTCCCTGGAAGTGTTCAAAAACTCGAGAGGGCATGACCTGCCTTAGTGGTAGACTTGGCAGTCCTGGGGTGTAGACTGGACTTGATGATCTTAAAGGTCTCTTCCAACCTAGTTGATTCTGTGATTCTATGAAATTCTATGAAAGTCTATAAAAAAGCCTTATGGGATGCATTGAATCCTTCATGTAAGATACATTGTTTTCTGTCCCTCAGTATGTACTTGTTCAAAATGATCCCAGGATATGAATTTCTGACTTGGCAAGAACGTTATAGATCAGCAGTATGTACTAACATCTGGCTGCATAGTGCAGCTGAATTACTTGCGCAATAGCAGTAAGAGAAGAAAATGTCATGCAAATACACATAATTTTAGGCTCAAGGGCCCAGTATTCTTGTGTAATACTGGTTAAACAGACTGACAGAGCAGAGACATTTTGCGATGTGTTAATATGGGAAAATGTAATTAGTTCCAAAATAGAAGTTACTGTAATTCAAGCAGTAGATATAAGCTGAGAAAATAGTGCTAGCCCTTTGTGTAATCAAATCATACTGTAGAGTTAATGATTTGCCAGGTATTATAGAGTTGAAATAGAAGATCTGAAGAGAAATTGCAGAAGCAAATCCTTCACAAATAGAAGTCTTATGTGTATCACAATGAAATATATCAATGACAGAAATGCAGTTTCCTTCGTTATTGCAACTGTCCTGTAAGCTTGAGTCACCAAATTGCTTCTAAAGGCTGGTGTAACAGTTGATAACTATGCTTGAGGAGCATTTAATTTCTAACAGAAAGGTGTCTGAAGGGCAATTCAACCATAAGTTTCTAGAAAAGTAGGTATGTATTAATTTCCTTATGTCAATAGGGAGGTGTACTTCGTCAGCTAAATATAAATACCTCATCTCTCCCTCCCAGCTACCTGAAATAGTGAAGAAGTTGAATCTGTTTTTACTTGTCTGCCAATATTCAATGAAGAACAATTAATTTTCTTCTCTCTTGGGTACCACTTTATCTTTCTTTCTCTCCCTCTCTCTTTCTTGCACGTTTGTTTTTTTTTGTTTTGTTTTTTTTTCCCTCTCACCTCTTTCTTTCTTTATCTAAATGTAGTCATATTATCCTTTCCAACCAAGGTTATTATTAAAGCTGCATTTCTAGATGTTACACAGCCCATTGTGTGGTTACCTGGTAATAGAAGCCAGTGTCATGAAAAGATGCCAGATCCTACACCTGGGTTGGGGCAATCACAGGCACAGCTACAGGTCGGGCAAAGAAGAGATTCAGAGCAGCCCTGCAGAGAAGGACTTGGACATGTTGCTTGATGAGAAACTGAACCTGAGCCGGCTTCAGTGTGCGCTCACAGCCCAGAAAGCCAACCGTATCCTGGGCTGTATCAAAAGGAGCGTGACCAGCAGGTCGAAGGAGGTGATCCTGCCCCTCTGCTCTCATGAGACCTCACTTGGAGTATTGGGTACAGTTTTGGTGTCCTCAACATAAAAAGGACATGGAACTGTTGGAACAAGTCCAGAGGAGGGCCACGAGGGTGATGAGGGGACTGGAGCACCTCCCATATGAAGACAGGCTGAGGAAGTTGGGGCTGTTCAGCCTGGAGAAGAGAAGGCTGCCTGGAGACCTCATAGCAGCCTTCCAGTATCTGAAGGGTGGGTATAGGGATGCTGGGGATGGGCTCTTCATTAGGGACTGTGGTGATAGGTCAAGGGGTAATGGGTTAAAACTTAAACAGGGGAAGTTCAGGTTAAATATAAGGGAGTTCTTTCCTGTTAGGGTGGTGAGGCACTGAAACAGGTGGCCCAAAGAAGTGGTAAATGCTCCATCCCTGGCAGTGTTCAAGGCCAGGTTGGACACAGCCTTAGTCAACATGGTCTAGTGTGAGGTGTCCCTGCTCATGGAATGGGTGTTTGAACCAGATGTTCTTAAGATCCTTTCCAACCCAAGCCATTTTATGATTCTATGACTCTATGGATGTACTAGCTTTCTATGATATGCGTGAAATGTCCACAGAAAGTACAGACTATCATAATGTCTGTATCCTGATGGCCATAAGTACAGGGTTATCAGACATAAAAAAGCATTGCTGATGCGTCTGGTGGTACTTTTAAACTGGTGAGCTAGATCTTGACCTCTGAGGTATCTCAGTGTATATCTCAAACTGGCATGTAAGAGAGAGGTGTTCTTTCACACAAAGGCTTACTTCCACTATTTCCTTATTTCTTGTGAGGACAGTGACTGACCTTGCTTTCAGAGTTTTGATTGTTAATTTATTAGTGGTATTATAATTTCTGATATATGTTGACTCCTTAATGAACTGGAAAGAGAATTTTTCTGAACCGGTAGCATGAGTCAGAAGCGCTTAGCTACAGACATTTAGCCACTTCTTGATCCTTTCTTTTGTTGCACAGTAGGAACAGTACAAACGTGATTTTGCCTGCTCAGAACTGGAAAGGTTTTTCCTACATTAGAAGTGCTAGATTTCCAGAGGATCCTCGTATCGTCATAGACAATATTTCTGGGGGGAGATATCAGGGAATAATCCGACAGCATTGCAAGTTATAAAATTTACTTTGTGTTGCTTTAATATTACCCCAAAGTTGGCTGTTGCTGTATTAGCACATTTCCTCTCTTTACATTTTTTTAATGCTAAATTTAATCTTTTAAACTTCTTTTTTATTATTATTTGTATTTTCAGTTTGATTTCTCTTTCTTCCATCAAATTCACACATCTATATATTAATAACCAGAAGTGCCTTACCTATTTAAGTAGGTATTGGAATAAAATTTTGTTTCATGGTCATCTCAAGGACACAGCCACTTTTTCCTAGTTTTTATAATTCTAGCATCTTTATGAATAAAGAACCAACTTTATTTCTTTCCTGTGCCCTACAAGGGAGGATGAAGTCCTCCCGTAATCAATGGATGGATCCTATCATGATATGATAATCAAATATCAACACATTCTTCTAGCCTAAAGCATGGTTTACAGAATTATTAATTCAGTATCTAATATCGTGCACATATCATGATGCATCAAAAGTATTTTATTGCAGAATTAGTGTAATGTACAGAATAACAGTCATGGAAATGCTTGGAAGAATGGCAGTAGACCCAGCTTCAGGGAAACGATTATGTACTGCTACTTTCAACTTCTGTCATGTGTGATTTTCACAGGGATTCTTTTATTACCCTGTTCAGTTGCCATAATAACAGCATGTCTGTTGTTGGAAACCTAAGGCTGTGTTGTCACAGGCATACCATGTAAGTAGGAAAACTGTACTCACTCCTTGACATTGTATGGCATGACTTGGTGCGTTTATCTAGATTCAGCAAGCTGAGGGTGGTTCAGCATGTTGCTCTGTTAGTATAAAACTTTTTTCCTTGTCATTTTTGATGGATCATTAATTACACCTGTCAGGTAGTAGCAAAGGGTTTTGTAGTTTATGTCCTTCAACAAGTTTTGTAAAATGTAGGTTTATTTCTCAGGTGTGGAGTGTGGAATAAACCTAAGACTAGTCCTGTTTTAGTTTTATTCCTTTGACATGATTTCCAATGCTTGTCACTGTGCTTTAGTTGCCTTGTTGCTCACATTTCATAAAATACTACATACCGTATGTGACATGCTTAAAATTAATTTTGCTACATATAAATCAGTGTCTTGGAAATGACATACTTTGATCCAGTTCTTCATTTGCATTATCAAGGTGAAGTTTCACGTATTTCCTTAACAAGAAAGTTTTAGCTTTGAAATTGGAAAGTGGACAGCATTGCTGCCTGATGAATTCTGAATTGATTATTTCTAAATAAGATTCTTTTTCCTCGTCATAAAAAGAACCATAAGAAATTTAAACACGTACGAGCACAAAAAATAATCCTTTCTAAATGCTGTTTATTTTTAATTATATGACAAAGTGATGAAATTTATAAATATTATCTAAACTATTAGACAGAGGAAGGGTTAATTATGTGTTTCATTTCATTTGGGTTATGTCTTAGTTTACTGCCTCTAGAATATATTTGTACCCTGATGTGCAGATCCTTGTTTCTCATTTGGGAATATTTTCAGGTCAGAATTTTAAGATTTTCTGGCAATTATCCAGAAATCTCAGATATGTCTGTTGTGGATGTTCAGTGGTCTCCTGCAGCTTGGTACCTGAGACTTACTATTTGTTTGTCATAGAAAACTGTTGCTCATATCTCTGCCCAGAAAATCTCAGGCAGAAATATGCCAGGCCTAGGCAGCATTAATACAAAATCTGGATATTCAACCCATACACAGTCAAAAGTCTTCTTTAAGCCTAAGCCTCCTATAATGTCTGGGATCAGATGATGATGGGAGCTGTGTTTGCTTTCAAAATAGAAGAAGGTATGAACTGTTGAATTTATGTGAAATTCTGTATTGGTAAATTCTATCAAATCAAACCAGGCAGTTTGGCCCAGATCTACGTTGTTTCCTAAATCCATTGAATGATTTCACAGTTGAACACTGGTGTGTCAGTTCTTCTCCAGAAAAGCTGTGGCATTCTGTGCTGGTCAGCTGAGCTGTGAAAAACTATTGGAAAAAGTCCTGCAGGGTGACAGAAAACCACAAATAGCTTTTTAAAATACCTGTGACAGTGCTGTACTGTGCAAAAGCAAGATACCCTAATTATTTGTGTGAAAGGACTGAGATTTTCTCTAGCTAGACTAGAAAAGAACAGAAAGGAAGAAGCGAGTGAAAAACTGCAGAGAGAAGCAAACCCTACTGAGAGGGGGGAGCCAAGTGCTTTTCAAAGAGGTACATCTGGTTATACATGTTACTGCGTCTGCCCACATTTTCTTGCATAATCCTTTCCACCTCCTTGCATGACTTAACTCAGAATGTAGTACAGGCAGGTTCAGTGAGAGTAAATCAAAACCTTTGGTCATGAGGCTAAAAGGTGACCTTGTTCTGCTGTGATGCCAAATATTTCATGTGAAATCTCAGCTAAGTCCTCCTGTGATATCCTTGAGTGTGAGCACAGATCTTAGAGAAACATAAGACAGTTCAAATAATATAAATGTGATGATACAGAAGACAGAATGGATGACAAATACAGTTGAGGCTTCAAAAAATATTATGCAAGCCATACAAATCCCCCACAATGCTTTCCTATTTTGTTTATGACAACTTTAATTTTTTTTTTTAGGAGTATATAATACTTTGGCACAGAAAACATGCTAATCTGCTCCTCTCTCTGTGTCTTTTTAACAAGCACTTGCTTATGCTGCAAAATACAAACAGACAACAGCTTGGCTAGTGCTGAATGTGTGGACTTTGCATATATGATTTCAGCTAAGCGAGGTATAATACCAAAGCCAGCATTGATTTAATTTTTTTCAGTAAATGCTTACATTTTGGGATGAATACTGGATCTTTTATGAATTTCTTCTTTCATTTGCAACAAGTAAAAGGAAAAGGTTATTGCTACATCATGATTTAAAATTTTCAAAATCAAGAGGTCGTTTTTTTCCAGTAAAACTTGGACATTGGGTTTCCACTTGGCCCACTGAAGGTGGAATCTGCTGAATTATATATGTAAAAGATATATTTCTTTGCCTAGAGGAGAGTAATATTGTGGGATAAATTATAGAGAGACTGTTGCTATCAGATGATGGACAAATTTTCACTGCTACTAGGCTTCATTCACTCTCAGTTAAAAATGTGATTGGTGTTGAAATTGCCATGTTTGTACTGAGGACAAAGGGGAGTATTTTTGCAAAGTCTGAAACACTGGCTTTGGTATTTTATTGTTTCTTATATCACTAAAAATTCGCCTCATCTTAAATGTTGATTTTAATGTTGTTTTTTTTTTTTTTTATGTGTGTCTCTTTTTTTTTCAGGTAAAAAAGACTTGCTATTGTTCAACTGCAAAATATATGCATCTATAAATCTTGAATGAGTGTGCTAGATAAAATGAGAAAGTTGCATTTAAAAATCTAAGGGGTTGTGTTGGTTTTTGTTTTTCTTTT